ATGTTTATATCCCCTTTACCAACAATTACATGATCCTTTTAAACAACCACAATTGAACGCTTCTGTGCCGCTAGAATCGCGGTCGCTTTTTACAATTTTGCGCGTATAAACAAAATAATTTCAACCCAATTAAGCGGTTTTACGTACATTTTACAATGCGGCAGCGAGCATTAACTGAAGCGCAGCAATAACAGCCGAGTCCTTGCCTCTACCCCAACCACTCCCTCTTCTGGCTGACCACCTACTCAATTCGAGTGCAATGCAATTTTTGGTTGAATCAAATAATTTGGGTTATAGCATTTGGTATTTTGCGAATGTGGCGCCATTTGCATTTTACAGGCATTTTGTCGTTGTCATAGCATATATATGTACATACATACATACACTCATCCATACAAACGTATATACATCGTGTGTATATTTGGCAGATAACGTTTCCGGCAATGTCATCGCAATTGGCCCTGCGGTCTCGTGTGCGTGCATATGTACAGCATATAAATCAAAGTCAAAACAGCTAGACATGATTCACAAATGATCAAAACAGACGAGCCAACGGGTTGTTCCCTTCATCCCCCCTGCCAAGCATGGACATATGAAAGTCTTATAAATCAACTCTGTACTTGTGTGTGTGTGTGTGTATGACTATGCGTTGTGTTTGCACGGCGGCGGCTGCTGCTGCTGCTTTTAGCCCTGGCCGGAACCATTGCATGCGGTTGACTGTTTTTGACTGCAAGCTGCTAAGTTAGCACAAAATGTTAGTGTGTATGTGTGGCTCCCTTCGCATTCGCACTGTGCGCAGTTTGTCAAAAATTTTGATTAGCCAAAACCCCCGCCCAAAAAAAAAATGCGTTGAGGCACTTGACGACTGTTGCAGGATTGGAAAATACATCTTAAATTGCATATTTGTTGTTCTTAACCACTGCACCCCAAACAGATTCCTGTTTGAATTTTGTGGACCTAGACGTGTGTTTGACCTACTTTAAATACGCACATATATACATATGTATGTGTATGAATGTATAAACTTGACGACAGGCAAATGAACCAGTTCGCAACTGCATTTGATCTACATTACATGAATGTAATTATATTTAAGTACCAGGGCTCCAACTAAAACTGCTTTGCATTGCAACTGATAAATGTTAGTATATTTCTTTTACTTAACAGAAGCTGCACTTGATCTAGTCTCTTCATACATACTACCAGGGCTGTTAACTAAGTCTTACTTTTCCTTTAGCCTAGCTGCCTTTATAATAGGATAAGCCGATAAAATATGGCATAAGAATTCAGTTTATATATACATACATATATATAAATATATAATTTTTTGTTGGGCAAATTTAAGGCAGCTGCTGCCCAGGAGTTTTATTTACCAAGCAATTGTTGTGGTTTTATTTGAGGAGCCAACACACACACACTTACACCAATGCAGCTTGGGTCTCACATGGACATACATGATTTATGCAAATTGAAAATGACCTTAGACCCTGACACACACATACACACACACTCGCACATACAGACACGCTGGCATGAACACTGTCCATTTACCATGTCATGCATGTTGTACATGCACACATACACACGCATATATATGTATGCATGTATATCTATATGTGTGTGTATGTGTGCATTTTTGGGGCTCCTGTTGACTTGATTGTGGCAGCTGCTTGCCGCTTAGCTGCTGTTCGGACCACATGCACAGCATCCATAACCATTTACAGTTGCTGCACAGCTTAGCAGCAAAACCCTAAAGGATAACGAAGGGAGTTGGCAGGCTCTTACCCACACACACACTCTACACAGTATGTATGTATGTATGTGTGTGTGTGTGTGTGTGTATAGGTTGGCATCATGCATTTTGCATCATCAAGTATTTTTGTGCCATTATTTCATGAAATTCACATTTATTTTGCAGCTGCTCTGATCCAAAAAAAGCTCGCGTCCTTTGGCCAACAACAATACCAGCAAAAAAAAAAAAATAAATAAATAAATAAAAGTAAAAATACAAAATATTGGCCATATGTATTTTCAGCCAGTTCAATGTTTTGCTATATGGATTTGGCAAAAGAGAAAAATACGAAGAGATTAGCCAAAGCAAAGGCTTAAATAGATGCGGAGTTTAGATGGATATATACATACATACATATTTACAATACATATATGAAAAGTTCAAGGGTTTTAGAAAATAAAACATTCTATATATGTATATAATAAACAGAGAAAAATATTATGTATGGCTATGAATGTATGTGTGTCTGTATATAGTATGTATGTATGTATGTATGTATGTATGTATGTATGTATGTATGTATGTATGTATGTATGTATGTATGTATGTATGTATGTATGTATGTATGCATGTATGTATGTATGTATGTATGTAATTATGTAATTATGTAATTATGTATTACCACTAAAACTGCTGGGGCTTCCGAATCTGGAGAGTATGTGATGAGAGAGAGAGTCCTTCAGTTAAGTGCTGTTCGGGTCTTCGGGTCCCCGGCTCGGTTCCTCCACTCTTATACTCTTTGGCTCTTCAGTTCTTCGGCTCTTCTAATATTTAATATCTCATAACATTTATTATTATTACTCGGTGATTATACTTCTGTGTAAAAAAAAACTTGATGGTCATTATTCTTATCCTTATCACATTCTTCATGATCATTATTAAAAGGTAATGTACAATGTACATTAGTAATACGATACGAAAATAACAATAAAATACCATAATGATTATTATCATATTGAATAATTCTTAATGATGAGCAGCACAATGATCAGCAGGTTAACAATTAATTTGATCATTATTAATAATA